CTGGGGGAATGACAGAACTATTCTGTACCTTGATCATGATGGTGGTTACAGGACCCTATGCGTTTCTCAAAACTCAGAACAGAAGGCCAAGACACTTCATTACCCTTTATGTAAATTTATAAATATATTTTTAAAATATTAGCAGCCTGTTGATGTCTTCTATTTCTAATGTCTCTCAAGTCAAGATACATATTTCTAAAAGCTGAATGCAATTTGGACCCTTGTAAGTTTAAATATTTAAAAATTCACTAAGGGAGCTTCCTTTCAATAAGAATCTTAGTGTGAAATCTTCTGCAAAGTAAACTTGGTACATCTGATACTCAGTAATATCTAGGTGAACCAGAGTTCTGAATTTCAACTTCTGATTAAAGGGAGGCAAATGTGTAACACCAAGTCTATCAACAGATGAATGGATAAAGAAGATATTATATATATACAATGGAGTATTACTTGGCAATCAAAAAGAATGAAATCTTGTCATTTGCTACTACATGGATGGAACTAGAGGGTATTATGCTAAGCGAAATTAGTCAAAGACAAATATCATATGACTCTACTCATATGAGGAATTTAAGATACAAAACACATGAACATAAGGGAAGGGAAACAAAAATAATATAAAAACAGGGAGGGGGACAAAACACAAGAGACTCTTAAACATGGAGAACAAACAGAGGGCTGCTGGAGGGCTTGTGGGAGGGGGGAGGGGCTAATGGGTGAGAGGCATTAAGGAATCTACTCCTGAAATCATTGTTGCACCATATGCTAACTAACTTGGATGTAAATTGAAAAATAAATACATTTTTTTTTAAATGGAAAAAGATTTGTATCACCAAATTTTTCAGGATCTTCTTTCTTTTCCATAGCTCTGACCAAGAGTGGGTTGGGTGAGTTATTCTCATAGCCTTTCCCATGTCACTACTAAAAGAAAAAGTAAGAGTTCTCCCAGGCAGGTCACATTTCCCCAGGCCCTGCCACTGGAGAGAACCCATGCTGTCTAACTCAGGGAAGAGGACACTAGAAGGAGGGGCGCAGGGAGCCTGGGGTGCAGGACTCGTCCTCTGTTAGACCGTGCTTCCAGCCCAAGGTCACTGGGTGCTGAGCCCCATTGAGCCGGATCATGGCCACATCCCTGCTCTCACTGTGCCAGCTTCAGAACGCTCACATGTCAAGTGCAAACAGCAACACCATGAGAAGGAGGAAGTTGCCTTTGTCTCAGCTTGGTGGTTAGTGATGTATGTCAGAGATGACACCTGTTCAACAAACCAGGTAAACTTTGTGCACCTTGTTCTGGCTGCCTTGGAGCCTCACAGTTAGCTCAGGTGCTCTGCCCTCCCATTGCACATCCTGGTCTCACTTTCCCAAGCTGCGTTTCAGGTTCAGCGGTCTTTCAAAACAATTAGACAACTCTGCCTTTGCCCCCACTTGGAAAGTGTTCCTCACTTTGCTCAACAACTTCCTGAAAAAACAATGGATGCAAATCTCATTGTTATCAATCATGGAGCATAATAAATGCCTGGGGGGGGGGTCCCTATAGAGCAAGCCCCACGTGGCTCCTTCTACAAACTGAAGTCTCCTTTTGTAAAGGAGCAATTCCACCCCCTACACACACACACACACACACACACACACACACACCCCAATTTCTCTATCTACTAAATCCTTATTGGCACAAAGTGGGGTTTTGTCTGGTGAGGAGCCACTCATGGTCACTCTCCTGCCTTCGTAAACTTATCTATGATTTAATACAGTGATTCTGGGAGTCATAAGCTTGAACTGAATGGCTGGATATGAAAACCACTCCCGGAAGCTCCAAGCTCCTGGCAGAAGTATTTCCTCTTCTCTCTGCAGCAGACGGTCTCCTGGCCCCAACCAGCCGTGCCCACCTCTACAGAAGAAGGTAGTGGCATAACTAAGGAGGACATACTTAAGTAAAGTGCGCAGTTCGTAAATAAGAAGGAATAGACTGTAATATAAATGCCCTCTCATTGAACCAAAATACAACGAGAGTTTATTTTCTTTTTCTGGAGCTCTCACTTCAACTGGAAGGGGTAAGTGAATACTGCTAAATTTTAAAAATGAAGTCCAGTGTAGGTCAAATTTAATTTGTTAATCATTTTATTACTGAGAAGCCAAAGAGTATCGATGAATAAGGAAGAGTCCACAGACCCCTGGTCCAACCCGTTTCTCATCCTGTGCCGGACTCACCCTACGCTATCTCATCTGCCTGTTGAAGGAAGGTAACAAGTCAGGAGGGCTCATTAACATCCCCAGACCCTGCTTTGTCTGGTTTCCAAGCCAGGCTCATCTTTAAGGAACCTATGACTGTACCAGCCGAAGGAACAGAACTGTTTGAACATCTCTATAGGCCTGACTTGCTACCTCCTCATCCCACATCAAATCAAACGTTTTAAATTTACCCACATCCCCCACTGTATAGGATTTCTACATGGTCACATAAGAGCCAGAAGCAGTTAACTCATTGATATGTTTTATAGACATTTAATTAAACAGCCACGTTTGATTTTGTGTTTTTCTGTTCATAGTTTGAAATGAACACGTTTCTTTTTGGGTTCCAAACATTCCCACAGCCCTCTACAAAGCTGGTCCTCCTAAGGCACTGTGTCTATGGTGTTTAATGCAGACAATGGCCTTGCACAGAGGAAGACAGAAAGGGCAGCACTGTGCCAAATCTGTGGTATGTCCAGCTCAAGATGTCTTCACCAACCACGGGCCAAAATGTTTGAAATGAGGAAGATGTGAGATTTCTAACACCTACTGGCAGTCAGTTTAACTTCTATGATCTATTCAGTCTTCACAACACCCTTTTGTGTTTGGAATTATCATCCTCCTTTAAAGGGAGGAAAAATAAAGCACAAAAGTTCGTAGTGACTTGTCCAAGGTCCCACTGCCACAAAGCAGACATTTGAACCCAGGTCTCATGGCCCCCAAATCCAGTTTTCAACTGAGTCCCGTCTCCTGCAGGGATAGCAGAAAGTCACAGCTGTCCTTCCTGACATTTCAAGTTAGATAAATATAGACAATTTTAGTGATTACTTAATATACTGTCTTTTGGGGGTCTGCTTTTATTGTTTAAAAGCTATACAGGGGCACCCGGGTGGCTCAGTCGGTTAAGCGTCCGACTTCAGCTCAGGACATGATCTCACGGTCCATGGGCTTGAGCCCTGCATCGGGCTCTGAGCTGACAGCTCAGAGCCTGGAGCCTGCTTCAGATTCTGTCTCCCTCTCTCTTTGCCCTTCCCCCACTCATGCTCTGTCTCTCTCTCCATCTCTCAAAAATAAATAAATGTTAAAAATTTTTTAAAAAGCTATACATTCATTTTTTTGTCTATATCTTTTTGTCCAAAATGACCTTGTTAAGCTCTAAAAGATGCTGTTAATATAAATGCTGTTTGTTTTTGTTTTATTTTGTTTTAAGGGACTGGGTTTCAATCACCTTCTCTTCTGTCTCTCAGTCTTACCTCTTAGAGTGATTTCTACACTGGATGTCTACATCATGCACCATCTGTTGAACTGATTTGGCACTTGGAACCCAGGGTCACTTTCTTATTCCTCTTTATCTGATCTCTCTTAAATTATACTCTGGGCTCCTCTAGGTAAATTATGGGGTCTTATGCCTCTTGCTATCTCCCCTAGCAGGGGGTCTAGGTTACCCCTGGTTTCCAATTCCCTCTGTGAGCTAACCAGTTATGTCACCTTTGGGCAAGTCATCCAACTTCTATTTATAACATGGAAACAATAGTTACCCTGCTTAGCTAAATAAGAGAAAGCAAGCTGATGCATATGTAAGTGCTTTGCAATCTAGAAAGTACTCTGCACGTTCGCAGGCTGATTAGCCAAAAGTATTGCTGACTGATGCTGACAGGAGAAGCAGGTTCTTGGGGTCTTTTGCCAAACCAAGAAAGTTCATAGACTGTAACAATTTTACCAGTACTGTGCTGGGCTTCCCAAAGTCACATCAGCTGAGTGAGCCAATGGAGCAGCTGTGCTGTGACGGCCAGGTCAGTGATTGGGTCGCAGAAGAACAAGGAAAAACTGGCAGGTGGTTGCACCCTTGTGAGCCTCCTAGCCGTCTTAAGAAATGAGACTGTTCTGGGTGGCTTAGTCGGTTAAGTGTCCGACTTTCACTTAGGTCATGATCTCGCGGTTCGTGGGTTCGAGCCCCGCGTCGGGCTCTGTGCTGACTGCCAGCTCAGAGCCTGGAGCCTATTTCAGAGTCTGTGTCTCCCTCTCTCTCTGACCCTCCCCTGCTCACGCTGTCTCTCTCTCTCTCTCTCTCCTAGAAATAAATAAAAATATTTTTAAAAAAAAAGAAAAAAGAAAAAAAATGAGACTGAAGGGGCGCCTGGGTGGCTCAGTCGGTTAAGCGTCCGACTTCAGTTCAGGTCATGATCTCATGGCTCGTGGGTCCGAGCCCCCTGTTGGGCTCTGTGCTGACGGCTTAGAGCCTGGAGCCTATTTCAGATTCTGTATCTCCCTATCTCTGACCCTCCCCTGCTCACACTGTCTGTCTCTCTGTGTCAAAAATAAGTAAAATGTCATAAAAAATTAAAAAAAAAAAAAGAAATGAGACTGAAACTCAACACCTGACTGGCACTGTCTGATTGACAAGCTCCTAGAATGTTCTGAGAGGTGTTGCCAACACTCAAACAGGCACCCTGCCCTCGGCTCTTACCCTAAGAAAGCATCACAGGTGCAAACACAGATGCCCGAAAACAGAGGGCATTTTGCCAAATCCTTTTCTTAAAGCTCCACACTATCAGCATAAAGAAAGTGCTAACGCACAGTGAAAGCTGGGAAAAGCTGAGACAGGGGAGCTTTGACAGGGGAGGAGGCTCCTTGGCCAGAAGGAAGGGACAGTAAGGGGAAAATCAGATTTTTCTAGTAATTCTGGGCTTAACAATTCACTAGGAAAAAGCGAGCAGTGGGGCTGGCTGATGGTAACGGGGCTGAGAGGCTGTTCACAGAGCTAGACGAAGATGAATGCCAGAGGGCTTGGCTCTCCGCTAAAGGATAGTATTCCTGCTACTGAACTTTCCGCAAGTGGACCTTTTGAAAGTCATGATCTTCTTTGAAAAGGTCTTCCTTGGGTGAAAAATAACGTTTGCTCTTGAATTATCTGAAGAAAAAGCTCAACCAAGAGAAAATGAATCTTCCCACACTGAGGACCATCCTGGGTCTATTGGCTCCACTCAGATTACAAATGGAATTCAAGGCCATGCAGCACATTCAGCCTCTTGCATTTCTTTCAAGCTCATCAGACCTTTCACTGGATATTTTGAGGGCTCATGATGAGACTATTGGATTTGAAGATACTCTTAATGACCTGTCAAAAAGTGAACTAATGGGAGAGCCACACTTGATGGTGGACTATAAACTGGGTTTACTATCACCTGTTGTGCTGTTCATGAAAAGAGAGAGACTGCGTCTTGTTTATAGTCATCCTTTTAGTATGATTTGATGTATGAACACCGAAAGTACTGACACATGAAGAAAAAAATTCACCAGGAAAATGTTTGCCATGGAAAAAAGAATTCCTTTCGCAGCCTGACTCCAAAGAAAAGCAGAACCACCACCTGTAATAGAATCCTGAGCAAAGAAAGCTACCTGGGCTCAAGGCCCAACACAGCCACACCCCAGTCTGCCCCCCAGTCTAAAGCCCATCTCCTTGCCCTACTCTAGCCAAGCAGTCCTCTTTGGCTCCTTTCCAAACCTGCAATTCCAGCTCAGGATGGTCCCATGTCTTCTAGAATGGCCTTCTCTTGATCCTCCCCACTCAAAGCCAGTGTGCCCCCCGCTGGACAGTGGAAGAAATAAAAACAGCCAAGGACTCATTATAAACTAGCTGCCAACGAGGCCACACCCACTGGGACCCTCTGAGGAACCACGGGGTGTGTGCTGAGCTGAGCGTTGTCCTAACTAAAGAGGGGAGGCTGGGGCCTATGGCCAAGGAGTCTTGTCTCCTTTGTCCTCCAGGACATACCTGCCACAGCTGAGCGACCTGCCTCAGCTCCAGAGAAAACTGTGAGGTTACTAAGCGCTGACTTTTTTTTAGAGCCATGTACCACAGGTCACAAGATCTGCTACACTGAGCATGCGTGTGCTTTCTCTATGCAACTAGACTGCAAGCTCCTTGAGTGCAAAGATCTTAAAAGCGGAATGAAAATGATGCAAATAGCTTCGATTGTAAGTTAACGTGCTCTTGGCTAAAAAACTCTGAGATCTTTCCTCTTTGTTGTTCTACTTTGATGGCATTTTACCAATTCTTTACCCCTATGCTTTCATTGAAATATAAAGCCTTTAAGGGCGCCTGGGTGGCTCAGTTGGTTAAGCATCTGACTTCGGCTCAGGTCATGGTTCTCATGGTTCGTGAGTTTGAACACTGTATCAGGCTCCTTGCTGACAGCTCAGAGCCTGGAGCCTGCTTTGGATTCTGTGTCTCCATCTCTCTCTCTCTGCTCCTCTGCTGTTCACGCTCTGTCTCCATCTCTCTCTCTCTCTCTCTCTCTCTCTCAAATAAACATTAAATTTAAAAAAAAAAGAAAAAGAAAATCCTTGGACCATATACACGGCAAAAACATTAGGGAAGGAAATAGTAGAAGAAAAACCATTGTTTCCTTTTTTTCAGCGAGGCAGGAGCTGTGTCTATTACTGCCTTTGGGCTGTAATAACACAGAATGAGAAGTGGGAAACTCATATTTTGGTCTGTCAGATCCTTGCTAACTCTCACTTTGCCCATCCTTCAATACGCAGGGTCAGACCAGTGGGCCAAGTGACCTTGGGCAAGTCATGTCACCTCTCTGAGCCTCAACTTTCCCATCTGTAAAGCAGAGACACTAACTGTGCTGACATCACAGGGATATTGTCAGTATTAAACACGTTGGTGTTTGAAAAGACACTTACTAAACAGGAAAAGGCTTTTCAAATATCGGGCATGATTGGAGCAGGTCTGGCTAAGGGGCCCTGGTGTGAACAGCCAGGTGGATCGTTTCCGGCTTGGAAAGACCCAGTCTGTTCTATGCCACCCTAAGTAAGGCCAGATGTCCCATATTGCCTGGTGTTGTTACCTACATAGGCACCAGGTGTCTTTCTCGGTGTCCCCGAGACTTTGCATTTTGACAGTTCATTAAAATGGTTCTCATTTTAATGTACTTTGCATTTTGACAGTTCATTAAAATGGTTCTCAACACCCCCCTGGAGAAGGCACAGCCCTCACCAGGGCCCTGACCTTAGTGCTGACTCCCCAGGTTGCAACACACATCCCCACCTGGACTTTCTCCATCCAACCTGCACCCATAGTTTAGAGTCAGCTTCACTCCACTCTTCCACAAAACACTTTTCAGCCTCCTTCACCCATGCATTCCATAAGTTTTGTTGTTGCTGTTTGTTGGTTGGTTGGTTTTGAGCACCTACTAGGCGCCAGTACTGTCCAAGGTAAGGGGGACACGATGGTGAACTTGATCCCTCCCCTCGTGGAGCTAGAGACTTTACTCATAAGAGTGGTCTGGAATTTAGTTTGCCTTGTGAGTTTTTCCTTTATGGTTATTTCACACATGTACCTTGCATAGACCTAGCCTGAAAGGTAGACTTGAGTGAACCTCTTCTGTACCCTCCCACTCATAAGCAAAATGGTATGTGTGTGGCATATGTGTCAAAATACTTTGTGCCGCCTCTCTTGGCTGAAAGGCAAAGAAAGACATGGTGGAAGTTCCCAAACTATGATAGATATTCAACCCAAAGATCAATTGCAAAATTTTTAAATACACGAGCATACCTTGATTCAGATATGACTTACCAGATGAGAAAAGGTTTGCTTCAAGGCCCCTAGACAAACAGAAGTTAATGCAACTTCCTTTAGAGATGTTGCCATTAGAAAAATATTCTGGTACAATAAGCTTCCAGAAGCTGAGACAGAGGCGGGTTTCCAGGGACAAGCGGAGGTGTGGGATTCTTATATTAATGAAAATCAGATGCCACCTTGTGGCCAGAAATAAAAATTCAAGAATTCCGTTGGGCAAAAGAATGGATTGCTCTGGGAATCAAACACAGAATTGCATTACCCAAGTAATCTGCTCCATCCCAGTAGGGATAGTGTGTTCCCAAATTAACCCTCAAAGCACTTCTTTGCTTTAATCTATGTCTTACAGCCACAATTCTTAATCATACACACCTGACAATTATAAGCCTCCTAAAGCCCCCTGCTGGGAATTTATTTTTTTATTATTATCATTATTTTTAAAAATAGAGCTGGCTGTCACATCGCCCAAACTCCAGTGTTGATTAATCCCTGAAAAACTCTCAGGGAAATTTTGGTATCTGAGGAATAAAGATGACACAGAAGATATTTTCAAGGATATTCGGTGAAAGACAATTTTGTGAGCAAAAAAAAATTTCAGTAACAAGGGAATGAAAGCTTTGCTAAAAGTTATCTACAGAGAAAGTCATTTTAAAATGTTATAGTTGAGGGGCACCTGGGTGGCTCAGTCAGTTAAGCATCCGACTTCGGCTCAGGTCATGATCTCACGGTTCGTGGGTTTGAGCCCCACGTCGGGTTCTGTGCTGACAGCCAGCTCAGAGCCTGGAGCCTGTTTCAGATTCTGTATCTCCCTCTCTCTCTGATCCTCCCCTGCTCATGCTCTCTCTCAGAAATAAATAAAACATCAAAAAATTTTTAATGTTATAATTTATACTATGTATTTCTGTGATATTTTATAAATTAAATATTTACATTTTGTGATATTATTTTAAATTATTTTTCTTTTGTAAAACTGATCATTTGTGATTTTTTAGCCACCTATAAGTGACCAATTTTGACAGCATTGCAAAGTTCAGAATTTCCCTAAACTAAGAATTATTCAATAGAAAAAAATCAATATTATCTTTATATTGATAAGAAACCTACTTTACATATAAGGACACATATAGAGTAAAAGCAAATGGTTGGAGAAAGATATACTATGCAAAATTAATCAAAAGAATAAAAAAGTAGTTATATTAATTTCAGGGAGACAGGACTTCAGAGCAAGGAAAGTTATCAGTCATAAAGAGGGGCATTACAAAATGATTAAGGAATCAGTTTTCCAAGAAAAGAAAACAATCCTCTATGCATCTAACAACAGATCATCAAAGTATATAAGGCAAAAACTGAAAACTACAAGGAGAGGGAGATGAATCCCCTATTACAGTTGGAGATTTCAGTATCTCTCTACCAGAAATAGATCCAGCAAGCAGAAATCAGCAAGGACATAGTTTAACTCAACAACATCATCAATCAACTGGATATAACGTACATCTATAGACTACTTAAGCCAACAGCAACAAAAGCACATTCTTCTCAAGCTCATGTAGAACATTTACTTAAGGTAGAACATATCCTGGGCCATAAAGCACACTTTCATAGAATTGTCAGAATAGAAGTCATACAACGTCTGCTCTCAGACCATAGTGGAATAACATTAGAAATGAATGACAGAAGGATAGAGGGAAAATACTTGGAGGTTAGACAACACATTTCTAAATAACACAAGGGCCAAAGAAGAAATCCAAGAGAAATTTTAAAATATTTCAAACTAAATGAAAATTAATTAAAACAATTTATCAAAATTAGTGAGATGGAGTTATGAGAGATCTTATTATACAACATCTGATGAAAGTCTCCATTCAGGTAGAACTGAAAGAGAGTTAGAAGACACTTCTCTCTTCCTCCTGGCTCTGGGAGGTCCAGCCTGCCAGTTCTTAGATATAACAGGAGTTGGCAGCCTTCACAAGGTAGCTGAATTCTCGCAAAGGGCATCATGAGCAGGATGATGCTGGGGCTTTTCTAAGTGGCTTTGCAGACCAGAGAGTGAGAGAAGGACAGATAGAAGCAAGACACTCCAAACCATGGACCTCTCTGATACAGGATGGAAACTCCACAAAGGCAATGTGCTTCCAAAAGACTTCTACAATGACCATCACACCCCAGTCAGGCATTTCTCACTACCTATGATGCAAAAGTTCTCATCACAACCATTTGGTAATGTTATACCAAATTGAGCCTCTGATAACACTAAAGCATTACTGAATGCTTAATAAGTAGTCAACACTTGAAACTCCTAATTTCCTGTTTCACAACATTTTCCTCTTTTTCCCCCAGCTTTATTGAGGTATTGTTCAGCAAATAAAAATTGTATATATTGTAGGTGAAAAAAAAGTAATGGGATGCAGCAAAAGCAGTGTTTAGAGGGAAATTTATGGCACTGAATGCATCTATTAGAAATGAAGAAAATTATAAAACCAACCATCTAAGTTTCTACCTTAGGAAACTAAAAAAATAAGAGCAAATTAGGGAGAACAGGGCAAGATGGCGGAGAAGTAGCAAGCTCTGTGCATTTCGGTTGCACCCATTTCTCAAACAGAGAAGGCCTGAAGTCATAGGACACTGAGCCACCGGAGTTTGGGAAGAGAAAGACAGAACACACTGGGAAGGAAGCTTCAGAAGGGCGTGAGTGTGACCTGGGGAAGATAAAAGCGGGATAGGACCTGGAAATACAGAGGGAGGGCAGGGAGCCCGGCTTGTGCACAGCTGCAGTGAGTGATGAGCCGCAGTGAGCTGGGGTGAGCTGCCACGAGTCCAGGGGAAAGGAAAGAAAAGCTGAGATTGCTCATAGAACTGTCCCTGGAGAAGAGAAAAACCTTGGCTTGGAAAGAGTGTTTTTTAGTTCTGCCTGGGGTGCTGACTTTCAACTAGGTGCCCCCGATCCCAGAAGGTGCCAGAAAAAACTGCACTACAGTGCCCCCAGCACCATCCCTGGGGCAGCGGCCTGGTGATTGCTGGGCACTGCAAACAGCCCGCGGTGTTGAGGACTCTGCAGACCTGAAGCTGCTGCGTTCCCCGCAGGCACTCAGGTTGTACTGCTGCTTGACCCTGGAGGTCTGAGGCTACGACACGTCCCCCGCCCCCTACTCAACCCTGGGCAGCAGGGAAGCAGCGACCTGCAGGACTGTTTACGGTGGTATAAACAAAGCCCAGGGACTGGGACCTGGAAA